AACTTATAAAAGTGAGAGACCCCATGACCGATTGTGAACTTTGTGGCCATTTTGGTTCATCTTGGGTGCAGCCCTGGCTGGGCTCTTGTGCTGCCCAAGGTGGATCCACGGAGGCCTCCTAATAAATCCCTACTTTATTCTTTGACTCTGTCCAGCCTCTGTTCTAGGTCAGCCTTCAGAAAGCATCAGAGCCACTGGCTCTCAGAGATCCTGTCTGGACCACCATGGAGCTGTCCCCGGAGCTGTACCTTGGCAGCCAGAGATCCTGGTACCACCATGGAGCTGTACCTTGGCAGCCACATGGCTCAGCTCCACGGAGAGGTCACCGCCGGTGTTGCCGATGCCAACCACCAGGACGCGTTTTCCTCGGAAATCCTGCACATCTCTGTACTCCCGGCTGTGCAGGCACCGGCCTTTGAAGTGACTTTCAATGCCTAGGCAGAGAGCAGGGAGCATCTCCTACTGCCAGATACATTTACTCGCCTCAGCCACATACCCAGATCCTCTGCAGCCTCCAACTCTCCCCGCTCCCCCTCCCCTGGCAGCTGAGAAGCCCATGGAAGTCCCCTGTACCTCCTCAGCTCAGGAAAAGCCTGGATGCACCTTTACAAGATGTTTTTCCCATTCCCTGCAGTGCTCCTCACCATTTCTATGGGGTCAGGGTCCTGCCTGCTCCAGCATGGGGGCTTCATGGAGCAGGCAGGTTCGCAGAGCAAAATCCAACCAGGGGACCCATGGGTGCTGGGGGAAACCACTGCTGGGACAGGGCTTACCTGGGAAAGAAGCCAATGGCAAGTAGGGCTCCTGGTAGTGGCCGGTGCAAACCATGACAGCGTCGAAGACGTGGGACTCACGGACACCATGGGTCTCGGTGACCACCTCCCACTGGCCTGAGGTGCCGAAATCTGGGCGCTTCCTCACGCTGAGAACTGTTGTCTTGCACAGAAGCCCAACAGAACAGCGGTCAGGGATCACGCCGTGTTTTGGAGACGTGCCTGTGAAAGGCTGGGGCTGTTGGGAGCAGGCTGGGTCCCTGGGGAGGCACGTGTCACTTCTGAAGGTGTTAAACCCCACCCTGCACCTTTCCCCTGGTGATGGCATTGGGGGGCAAGCCTGTGTTAAACCAGCCTTATTTAAAATGTGGGGCTTAAAGGCAGGATGCAAAAGGCACATGGTCCCTGCGGGCTGGCACCTGCCTTGTCCCGTCCCACCTCCAATCTGCAGCTACCCATGGCTCTTCTCCCCGTGGCTTTGGGCTCCCTGCTCACCTGGAAGCGTATGTGCCGCAGGAGGTTGAAGTGCCGGGCGTACATCCTGAAGTATTCCAGGACCAGGCTGTGGGGCAGGTAGTTGGGAAAATCCTCGGGGAAGGGGAAGTCACTGAAGCAGGACATCTCCTTAGAGGTGTTGGTGATGACTGAGCGGTACACAGTGACCCTCCTGCTGTCTGTGGAGTCCTGTGTGAAGCCAGTGGTGATGTTCCCAGGTGTGCAGGGGAAGACTTTCTCCCCATCAAGTATATGAGCATTTTTCTTCCTCATGTTTTGGTACAAGGAATAAGCCAGGACTAGGACCTGGAGACAATCATTACTTCTCCCTCTGTTGGATTAAGCCCTTTTCTGACCCAGAGATGGGGCAGCCGAGAGGTGTTTTAAAAACTTTTATTCCTTTTTCAGTCTCATGTGAAGGGTGAGACAATACAGATGATATAATTTTCACTATTACAATCAGAAGCCAATTATTTCTTAATTACAATACATTATAAGCATTTCTTGGCCTATCAGTTTTAGCTACACCATGATGTAGATGTCTTAAAGCCAATCATCTAGCATTACCCCTCATAAATCCTACTAAAATGCATCTTTCATAGTTCTACTCCTCCAAAGTATTTATTTTTATTTGCAAGGCCATCTTTTGAAATTTGTTTCTAGCTCCATTTCTCCCTAAACAATGTCTGTCCTGTTCCATGGCATTTCTAAGTCAGCTTCTCTTATCTCAAAGTTTGCCTACAGATGCACACTATGTGAGCCTTCTGCCAGTTTCAAGAATTCTCTACAAATCCATTTCCCACATTTCCCCCTCTCTCCTGAACAGGAAAAAAAACTTTTTTGATGACTTTGTTTATCGTTTGCCATGCACAGTGAAGTCCGCAAGGCACAATCATTGACATTGTCACTACAACCATCAATGCAGATAAACCTATTTTGCAAAGCTCCTTTAGCTAACGTGCAAAACTTCATCCATTTCCCACACCCTCCATTTCCTTCTCCATCTGTGGGAACTCAAAATGTCTCTCAGACATTTTTGGAGGTTCCAGGCCGTGGTCAGACGCAGTCTGGACCCCAGCAGGCAGCTGGATTTAGCTGTGATTTCGAGTTTGAACCATGGAATGAATTGCCAACTTTGAAGGTGGAACAAGCAGTCACAAAGTGCTAGATAGTATAGTAAATGTAGTCACAAAGTAGAGGGAAATATTTTTTGGTAGTGTACAGGGGGGTTTTAGTGCATGTACAGGGGGGTTTTTACTTTGTACATGGGGGTCAGAAGTTCTAAGATGGAGGAAAGTGGGCTGAACCCATCCTTCTTCTTTCTTCTTCCTTACCTCCATGTTCTTGGTGATGTTGGCACTCACAGATTGGTTTAGAGTAGAAAAGCACTTGGTAATATAGGTAATAGGTATTGGGGAATAATTGTAAACATGTTATAAATAATATATCTTATAAAAGATAGCAGCAGCCCTAGGCAGGGAGAGAAAAGAAGAAGACACCAGACAGTCAGGGTGTCAGGAGTGTGTGCCTCTCTGCCTGGGCCGCTGACCAAAGGGCCGCAGCCCGAGAACTTAATCTGTTAGATAACTAGCAATAAAACATCTTGAGACCGAACAAGAAGAGACTGCTGAGTTTTTCTTTGGGAACACGGGTTGGAGGAGAAGCTTTACCACCACACGAGAACCCAGACCAAACCCGGGGTTCTCACATCCATCCTCCAGTCAGGAGGAGCCCCATGAGTGGGACAGGGACAGTCCCTGAGGGCGTGGCCACCCTTTCCTCTTTCCTGCTGTCCAAGAGCATCCAAGGAAGGGGACAAACCCGAGGACAAACCAGAGGGCACTGACCGTGTAGCGCCAGATGCCGCCGATGTCCTCGCTGCTCTCGAAGCAGGTGGGCTCCAGCCCCTCATCCAGGCAGCACTTGACAGAGGCCAAGCCCCCAGCCCCGGCCCCGATCACGGCCACGCGCCGGACCATGCTGGCCTGCAGCAGGTGACAGGCTGCTGTGAGAGCAGCTGGAAACACAACAGGCATCAGCAGAAACGCCAGTCCCTCCTTCCCATCCCCAGCAAAACCCCCCTGGTCTGCTCTGGCTGCAGGTGTCCAGGAAGGAAAACTGTCCTGGGAGAAAGCCATGGCCAGCTGCTGGTGCAAGTGCTGTGCACAGATCCTGCTCATTGCCCTTCCTGCTGTGCTAAACCCACGCTGGGGCTCCAGGAATCTCCCTTCTCCACGGGAAAAGGAGGCACTTTTAAACCTCGCTGTTCTGCCGCTTCAATTTATTCTCTTTTCCAGCCCAAACCAGGGCATGCAAAGAAACTGCAGCTATCTTCTTCTGCCTGCACAAAGCGACCGTCCTGAAACCTTTGAGAAAAGCAACTCCAGCTAAGCTGGCTCGTTTTCATGCTTTCCTTTTTAACTTCCCATTAAAGAGCAATCTCTTGAAAACAAAAAGGGTTTAAAAAGAAGGAAAAAAAGCAAAGCAATGCCTGACTGAGCAGGAGCACGGCGCAGCCATTCAGAAGTTAGCCAGCTCTGTGAAAGCAAGGCTGGGATTACAGGATATACAAAAGGTAAGAAACCCGGGAAACGCTGGATATAAATGGGAGGAACTCAAAGCTGGGGTGTGTAAACTGAGCTGCACCAAGCTTGACTGGAAAGCAAAGAAACTAGGAAAAAATGAACCCACAGGAACTTTGATTAGATAAGAAATACTGCTACTGCAGGGTCTGCAAAAAGAGTAATTTATAACTTTTTCTATGAGTTTTGTGTCAAAAAGTAAATTAACATAAATAAAAACTGAAAGAAATTGAAGAAAGCTAGGGAAAAACGAGGGAGGTGTAAAACAGCCCCTTTGGCATCTACAAGCCTGACCTGAGCCACTCCTTGATCTGCAGGAACAGGGCAGGACATGCCCACAGCCACCTGCCTCGTTCCTGGAGCCTTCTTTGGCTTCAGGAAAGGGCAGGCAAGCTCAGGGTGCTCCAGTCACCCCACTTTTCCAATGCTGCCTGCAGATGGTTTTACTCCAGAGGGTCCCTGCAACACCCCTCTCCCCCCACCAGCGGCAAGGCAAAGCCAGCAGTGAATGCCAAAACCCTGGAGAGCTGTCTGCCCACTTTTAAACCCTGCCAACCCCCCCAGGAGAAGCGAGGAGCAAACCTTGCAGGACAGCACTGCGCCTCCGCTGCTCTGCCCTCGGCCGAATTTCCCTGGAGTTTCTCTGGCCGTGGATTGAAGGGAAGGCTGAAGTCCAGGCAGCTCGCCTCAGCTCTTGCACCACTGACCTTTACACCTGCATTCCCCCGCCCTGTGGGCTTAAATGCACTGGAAGAAAGTTCTCAACCTCCCCGTGGCAGTGCCAGGTGAAAATTCAGAGATAATCCCAAAGGGAGCACGCTTGCGAGGACTCCCACGCTGTAACTTGTCATTGCTCCAGCCCAGGCAGCAGCGTGGGGCTGTCCTGATCTATCCCCTTTTGTGGTGCCAGTGCTGGGCTCGTGTTCCCTTGGCATCGCCAGCAGATCAGCAGAACCCGCTCCCTCGGCAGCAGACAGTGTGGATGTGGGACGTGGAGCACTGTGCAGCCTCATTTCGGGGGGTCAGGGAAAGCCCTGCGAGCCCCAGCCCTGTGAGCTGCCCACGGCCTTTGGTGGCACAGCCCCAACTCGGACACGGGCTCTCCCTCCCTGCTCTTCCCATGCACACAAGGAAAGGAGAGGGAGGCATCTGCAGCACACTCCTGCCACAGCCACTGAGATTTTATTCATTTGAGGTCTCTTCACACACAAAACAAAGCCTCAGGATTGCCCAGTGGTGGGGCACACAGGGAAGCAAAGCCAGGAGTGCTCAGCCCCACAAGGCTCCCGTGTGACAAACCACCACAACTGGAAAGAAGCACCAATTCAACCCCAGCTGGGGTTTTGGGGTCAGTGTTTAGGTTTGGAGAAGGGGGACAGCTTGACCTGTGTACACAGCCCAGGTAATTCCTGGGCACTCTTGCTCCTGTGACACACCACCACTTTTACTGGTCTTGTCCTCTCTGCATCCTGCCTTGTGTGATCCAGCACGATTATGCTCTGCTCTGCTCTGGCAGCAGGCAGGAGAGCAGAGGGGCAGCAGACACTTGGGCAAGGCTGCCATCCCTGGCTAATGAGGCCTGCAAAGCTGGGCTTGGGGCTGAGCTGGAGCAGAGGGAGTTTTATGCTGCACGTTGCAGATTAAAGTTTGTTGCCATCTACTGAAATCCTTTTCCTCCATACCATGGCACACTGAGGAGCTGTCTGACCTGAGATAAAATCCCTCAGGACAAAAATAAAAAAAACCCAAAAAAACAAACCCAAACAAACAAACAAACACGCTCTAAAAGCTATTGGAAACCAAAAATCACAGCTGCCAGGAGCAGAAGGAATCCCACCACAGTCAGGAGAGAAGGGAAAGAGCTGGAGGAGCCAGCAGGGACTCGTGTTCTTGTGGGCTTTAGGACGCGGTCCCACTGGGTGAGGATGGCCTGGCGTGCCCCCTCCCAGCGCCCAGGACCCCCCAGGCGGTACTGGTAGGGGGAGCAGGGGCCGAAGAAGATGGTGAGGGCCAGCCAAGGGTCTGTGCAGAGCAGCCCCAGCACGCTGGGCTTGGCACCAATGAAGGAGGCCAGCGTGTCCAGGTACACCAGCCACTCAGTTTTCAGGACTTCGTCAAAGGTCAGACCAAACCTGAATGAACCAGAGAAGAGAAAGAGGCAGGAGGAAGATGGGTATCAGCAGGGCTTAGAGGAACTGGGGTGGAGGTCCTCTGAATCCTTGGTGTTGCTGTATCTGGAATGCAACTGGGCTCTTTTTAGGAAAGGACTGGATGTAGGTGCAGGGGGAACCTGTGACACAGATCCTGCCCACGACACAGCACCTGTAAAGTGATACTGGCTCGTTCAGTCTTTCTCTTCCTCACTCACAAGCTGCACCTGTTTCCCCCCTTCCCCTTGGTGAATATTTGTTCACAGGTTTTGGCAAAGCAGCTTTGGGTCTTTTTCAAAACAAACAAACAAAAAAAACCCTCAAACCCAAATCTCTCTGCTTTTTGCAGAAAAGTCATGTGCAGCATGAGAAAGGTGGCACCCTTTAGTACCCCTCACGTTCATTTCCACCAAATATTGCAAGGACACACAGTGACTTGGAGAACTGCTTCCAGTTCACCTTCTCTGCAGAATTCACAGCTTCATGTCCCACCTGCAGAGGTCTGACAAAGCCCATATCCACCTAGCCTTGTATTGTACAGCAGTTGTTCTGTGCAATTCTGTACTTCACTCTTAATACCTTTTCTTCTGTAGCTATTTAAGTGAACCACGGATTTATAGACCACCCAGATTCCTGGGATTGGCTCGTTCATTCCCTAATCCTTTCCAGCCTTTTGCCTGCCTGTGAAGCACACACCAGTGTGCTCAGACACCTGCTCACAGTGAGTCAGGTCTCCATGCTGCGAGATGAGACAATCTGTGTGTGCACCTCGCTGCTTGTGTGTTGGCTTTTCCTCCACCCACCAGCTGAATTAGTTTGCATTTATTACCATTAATTTATCTTCCGTTTTATCTCTCAGTCCCTGGGGATCCTGGTGTTCTTCCCCAACTCCCAAGCAAACCTTAGCCTCGAGTACCCCAAATTAATTTCTTCCTGTCACCAACATGCAAAACATCAATGTTAAATCAAAGGTTACATTGGCTCTTTGCAAGTCAGCAAAGGGGAAGCTGGATCCAGGAATCCTCCCCTCTCCTCTGCCATGCTGGGAACAGCCACAGAGTGAGAGCCCGTGTATTGCTGCCCCAAAAACTCCAGAGGTTTTTCAATCTGCCAAAAAACCTTTGGGGCTCTGAGGAATGACTTACCATTGGATTTGGTTTTTCTTCTTCTCATTTATTTCCTTCTCCATGACAGACTGGGGAGGCAACTGACACAAGCCTGGAAGAGAGAGGAGAGCACCCTGCCAGGTTTAACTCCTGGGGGAGGAACTGTGAACTCATTCAGGGATGCAAAATGTGGGAATCCCTTCCCTGGAAGGGCAGGAAAGTCTCATTGCTGGCAGTTTATTTGGCAGTGGGAGTCCTGCCTTAAACCAGCTCTCCAGTACTCCAAATGGACCGACACCTCATCCTCCTGCTCTTACAGATGTGTGCTGACAGGGCACAGGCAGGTGATGTGGCGTCAGATGGGCTGTGCAAGCTCCAGAGAGGAACCCCAGAGCTTCTCATTTCTGTGGAATAGTCCTGACCCAGCCCTTCACGAGGTTATTCTTAGTATTTTTGTTAAAAACCCCAAACAAAACACCAGTAGGTTTCTTTTCTCACTCATGTTGCTGTAGGTTAACTGAAGTGAAATGACTTGAGAAATCTGACCCTTGGAAATGCTCCCTTGTCTGCTCTGAACTCCTTAGGTCTGGGATCTCCCTGGCTGGAGGGATAGAACGTGTCCAGTTTTGTCTGAGCTGCATTTTGGGGCACAGGAGGACTCCCATTTGCTCCCCTACCTTTGAAGACACGGCTCACCCAGCGTGCCTGCATCTCTGACACGGGCAGGATGGATCCAAGGGGCTTAATCAGCCCAAGGACAGCCAGGGTGGGCTTCTGCAGGTGGGTTGGGAACACGTATTTGTAGAGGGACGCGTGCTTGTTTTCCACCCTGACGACGGATTCTTCCAGGAAGGGGAAGGAGATGGTGTAGCCCGTGCAGAAGACAACAATATCGATGGGCTCCTCCTCAGGGCAGTTGTGGAAAAGGACTGAGTTGTCCTTGAACTCCTTCACGCCCGGCCTGATGGTGATCCTGCCTGTCAGGATGTAGCTTGGGAGGTCATCGTTCAGCAGGGGCTCCCGCACCAGCCAGCTGTGGAGAGCCAGGGGCTCTGAGAGTGGGGCACCACCAACAAGCCTTGCTGGTCCCCTGCTCCTCCTGCCCCCAGGCCCACCAACTCACACCTCCTGGTGTCATTTTCTCTGAGCACACAGCTCCGCCCTGCACCTCCGAACAATGACACGTGTCACCAATGTCACCCTGTCCCACAGCGTGAGTGATTCACAGACATCTCCTGCCGCCTTATTCCCTCCACTCAGTTACTCTTTAAATCATCTCTTTCCAGAACTGATCCATGCTTTAGGCCTTCCTTCTCCTCTGTACCCAGAGACCCTCACAAGGAAAACTCCTCTTAGCCTTCCTGGGCTTTTCCAGCATGCCCAATCTTTCACCACTTAAGGGAGCTACAGCTATTTGCTCCTCCCCACTGGAGATCCCAGACCCCAGTCTGGGCATTGGTTGATGCTGGTTGCTGAATATCTTCCCCTGCCCACACCACAAGCCCATCTGCATGGGATGGGGACCACCAAGAAGTACCTGTTCTCTGGCTGAAGGCCATAGTTTTCATGGTTGAACCACTGGTTCACCTTGTAATTAATCAACCACCATGAAAGGGGTCCGGGGAGGTTGGTTTTGATCAGGCTCATAAGGCGAGTGTTTAAAATCATATCCCACGGGTGGCCACGCTCAAACACACGGCTGAGCAGCCAGGCTCCTCGAGTGGTGCTAATGGTCACCTGGAAGAGAAGAACCAATGGTTCAGGTGGTGAGTTTGCTGATTCTCCTTTGTAAAGAAACTCAGAGGGGCATTGTAGGCCTCAGATTCAGTCAAAGAGAAAACGGAAAATTTCTAACCAGGCAGAAGCCCGAGGAAGTGCTGAGAAAGAATGTAAATAAGTTCTTTATCTCTCTTGTTGTTCACATTGTTTATAGTTAAGTTTTACTACTGTATGTCATTCACTGCACACAAATAGGGTGAGATGTTTTCACTTCAGGACCAATAGAGTTGGTCTGCACAAAGCTCTGTATAAAAGAGTGATGTATTTTAAAATAAATCAGAGTTATACTCTCAGCCTTCTGAACAAAGTCTATTCATTCCCGTCCTGCCTCAACAGCATCAGGGCATGGCACAGACAGCCGTGCAATGGAAAAGCAGCAACAGCATCTTTAATTTCTCCTGGCTGCTGGTGATGGAGGTGAAACAGGAGAGAAGAAGAAAACCAGCTTGCTTTCAAGGTAGGTTTTTGACCTAAAAATCCAGGCTCAGAAAGACTGTACAGCACATCCCTGCAATGACAGCACACTGAGCTACTGTCCCCAGTGTCCCTCTCCCCACAGCCCTGGGGTGGCAGGGGGTGGCACCTTTGCAGCGACACGACTGGCCTCCACCGCGATGTCCACTCCTGAGTTGCCCATGCCCACCACGAGGACACGCCTGCCCTGGAACACGTCAGGATGCTTGTACTGCCGGCTGTGGAAGTACTGCCCTCGAAACCTCTCGATGCCTCGGGGGAAAAAGGAGCAGAGCTTTGAAGTACTGGAGCATTTGTGGATTTGGTTGGGAGAACTGGTGTAAAAAAAACTATCTACATGGCAAGAGCAGGAAATGCAGTCTCTGGCCACCAGGGTCTTGGGGAGGTCCAGCCCTCCATCCCATGTCACAGAATTAATTGATGCTTCCTCTCCAAATGGGGTCTCAGAGAAAAAGCTGCTGAAGAATGGGAAAGTATTGCTGTTGATGCCAGCAGGTTTGGGGAGCAGAAGCAAGAAAAGAAAGGGAGGATTTTCCCCAAAGAACCCCTAAATCTTCCCTCCCCAGCCCCTGAAGCAGGTAACCACAGGCAGCCCTATACCATACCAGGAAAACACTGCAGGGGGAGGGATGGCTCCGAGAAACTGCCGCTGCAAACCATAACAGCATCAAAGACATGTGATGTCTGCTTCCCCTCCTCTTCTGTGACCACATTCCACTGGCCCGTGGTGGCAAAGTCGGGGTGCTTACGGATGCTGACAACGGTGGTCTGAAACGTGGGAGTGAGGCAAAGTCAGCGCGGGCACCCAGCACGGGTGGGGAGCGGGGCAGGGCAGGGCACCCATCACTCACCCCAAATCTGATGTGCTCCCGCAGGCTGAAGCGCTCAGCGTAGCGCCGGAGGTAGTCCAGGAGCAGGGCATTGGGCATGAACACCGGGAAGTGCTCAGGGAAGGGGAAGTCGGAGAAGGCAGACATCTCCTTGGAGGTGTTGCTGATGAGTGACGGATAAAGGCTTGGCCGGCCGGCCTCGATGTGCTCCTGCCACGGCACCCCGGGGTGCATCAGCCCTGTGCCCGGGCTGGGGACTGTCCCCTGCTGCCCTGGCCTCAGGGGGTGCAGCCCAGTGCCCAGCAAGCCCTCACAGCCCTCCACACCCACTCAAACCATCCCATAACCCTGCACAGCTGCAGCTGTCGAGGGGAGGTGTGGACTGGCTTAGCAGCTGGTCTGCAGGCCAAAGGACTGAGCTAACAGAAGAAGAAATTGATAAAATATGGGTTTATCCATAACAAGGAAGAAAGCAAGGCTGTTAGAATGGAAACCCATAAAACAGACACAAAAGGGATATTTACAGTTAGAGAATCCATGCCTTAGTGAGCAGCCTATACGCCTTAATAATTCGCTGTAAACTCTTCCCAATTAATTGTTGACGTTAATTGCTTTGTACCAATAAAATACAATGAACTATTCATTTGTCCAATGAATATAATGATGTAACTAATGCCTTAAGATCACACTTCGTTAAGGGTATAAAACTTAAGAACAACTTGTAATAAAGAGGAAGCCGTTGCTGTCTCTGCACAGTGTGTGTGGTGTGTCCATCCCCGCAGTGGCAGGAGGAGCGCAGGGCCCCTGGCTCACCGTGTAGCGCCAGAGCCCCCCGATGTCCTGGCTCTGCTCGAAGCAGGTGGGCTCCAGCCCCTCGGCCAGGCAGCACTTGGTGGCTGCCAGCCCACTGACCCCCGCGCCCACCACAGCCACTCTCATCCCTGCGGGCTCTGCCGGGCTCCCAGGCTGTCAGCAGGGCTGGAAGAAACCCCACACATGACCATCACCCTCTCGGGGCAGCACCTGGCATGCCCTGCATTGGGAATTTCTCTACGTGCTACCCCCAAACGTCATCCCATTTACCAGCATTCTGGGCTCTTCCTCTACAAGTTAGATTAAAGGTCTTAATTAATAATTTTCTTGTGTTTCCCCTTTTATTTTAAAAATCTCTCCACTTTTCCACTGTGTTCCCTGGGCTGCTTTCAAACCCCTGCAGCTGCCCTGGAAACTGGCTTTGAAAGAATGTAGTTGAGCCACAATTCACTGCCAGTTTTCATTTACAAGCTGGGTTTACATTATCCTGCTTTATCAGACTTGCAAATATTTGTACTTTATCTTTGGATATCTGCCCCTGCCTCTCTCGGAAGAAAAAAATAAAAAATGCACTGGAACTGAAAATGCACTGTATTTTATCTTTGGGTATCTGCGCCTGCCTGTCTCAGAAGAAAAAATAAAAAAATGCACTGGAACTCTTCAGTTTGTGCCTCTCTGACAGAGCTCTGTCCCCATCCCCAGAGAAGATGATACTGGCTTTGACATGGCCATTGAGGCTGACAGGGGGGCTGCAGGTGGGACACACCTTGGATTGAGGGTGATTTTGTGTCTCTTCCAGGGCTGAAAGCAGCTCCACTCCAGAGCTTGAAAGGCAACAGCCCCTGGGTTGACATCCAGCCCTACAAAACTCCCAGAGAGCACGATGGATCCTCATCCCTGGTAGTGCCAGGCAATAAAACAAGGGATGATGGCCAGGCCCATCCCTTGGCTTGGGCTGGACAGTTCCAGAGCCAGGACCCCCACACAGGTGCCCTGGGGGTGCTGCATGTTAAATCTGTGGTTTAACCCCAGGGCTGGAGGGAGCACCCTGCTCCAGTGAGTTATTAATTCAGCATGGCAGGATGTCACTATGGGTGGTACCAGTTCCTCTGGTCTGAGAAGTGCTTTCAGCTCCCACCAGAGACACAGAGGGTGGTGAAATGATCAGCAAAAAGAAAAAAAAGTCTTGGACACAGTATTTTCTAAAACCCACCAAACTGTCCAGAACTATTTCAATTTTCAGTCACAAAGCAACATCTAATGAATATTCTCCTTTCCTAGGTTGGGAAAAACACCTGGACTTTTTCCTTTGTAAATCAAGAAACCACTAGCATGAGCTGCTCACTCTTTTGGGGGAGGCTTTTATTTTAACATGGTGGGAGCTAACTTATATCACAAACACCCCCCACCTACATTTGGTATTTGATTCCCTACCTTCTTGTAGAGAAGCTACAAATAACACCCAAGAAATATCAATTCTGCCACCCTGTGCCTGCTCCTGCCACACTTTCCACACTAACCCTGCAAGCAGCCAAACTCAGAAGAGCCCAGGTGTGGCACAGGGAGGGAAGGAAAGGCTTTCAGCCCTCTGGGAACACTTACCTGCAGCCCCAGGCAGCTGTGCTCTGTGTCACCTCTGCTGTGGGAAGGGAGGGTCCCTCTCCCTCGGGATTTATAGGCGAGACCTGGAGCTTGGCAGGGCAGGGAGGGCAGGCAGCCACCCCACTCCCAGAGCAGTTACACAACTCGCTGTGGGAGGAGTGGCTGGAGTGTCCTGGTGTCCCTGGACAGCCCAGCTGCTGATCGCTGAATGGGTGGCAGGGAGTGGAGTGCTCCAGCTGTGCCCCACAGTCGTGCCAGGGGCACCCGTGGGTCAGGGGGCAGCTCCAGCTGTGCAATGTTTTCACTTGCCCGGTGGCTACTTGCCAAAAAGGGGCTGAAGCTGCAGACAAACAGCAGGGGTTTGTCAGGGCTTTGCACCTGAGGCACCTTCGAGGACAGAGAGCTGGGTTGGTGGCCACTGCTCATGGTGGCCTCTGTGCCACCAGCCACACCAACAGTGCCAGAGCTGGGCAGGAGCTGCCCCTGCCACCTGAGAGGGCATGAAATGGCCACAAAACCAGTGTGCCAAGGGCCCAGGCACACAGAAAGGGCAACTCTTGGCTGAAACATCAGTGCAGGACATAGAGCCCATCCAGGTGTCTCCCAGGAGTAAATGATCGTGGAGACCCTAAGAGTGGCTTTGGATATTCCATATATTTAGGGGTGGCTGGTGAGAAAGTATGAAATGCCTGCAAATGAATCCAGCTGGGCATGAAGAATATAGAAGCCATGGAGAGACAGTTTTTGGAGGATTGGGTCTTTAGGATAACCAGTGTTTAGAAAAAGACAAAGATATTTGTGCCCTGGGGGTGACAGCAAAACTCCCAGAGTGAGTGCAGGGGACACAGTCAGAGCTGCCAGCCCCATTAAGGCCTCACCTTGTCACTGATAAAGACACTTCCAGGGCAATGGCCCCAGATTTGGTACCAGCTCTTTTAGCAGTTTAAATAACCACGGAGTCCACAAGGGAGGAGGAGAAAAACCCATCCAAGGTCTGCAGAAGAGAGGGAGGGTGGTAAATAAAGTATCCAACAGAGGTGTCTGCTTTGGCCCTGTATTTTGATTTGCAGAGGCTGAAGGGACGTGTTTACCAAAAACTGGACCCTTCCCCAGTGCACAGAACCTTGCTCCTTCAATGATGCTCACCAGCACTCAGCAAAAAAGAGTCAAGAATCCACTAAGGCAAATATGATGTTCTTTATATGCTTCTGCATTTTTTGAGTTCCCCAGCAGGCGCTCAAGTGGCTTGCACTTACAGGGATACTGTGGCAGCATTCCAGGAGTGGTGTTAGTGCTTTTAGGAGGGCAGTTCAGGGAAGCTTTCTAAGAGAACAAGTTATTTTTGGCAAAGATGAGCTCCTGGTACAGAAATGGGACCAGGTGCCTTTGCTGCAGCTGCTGCCTGTAAGGCTGGCCCTGATTCTGGTGAGGAATCCAGTTCAGAGGTGCAGGGCTAGATGCAGTGAGTGATACCATGTGAGTACAGGGTAGAAACACCTCCAAAGCCTCAGTAATCTGCCTTAGGGCTGTGGTGTTCCCCTCCACAAATGGCCAGGGTCTGGGCCAGGTGTGCAGCACAAAATACTAGAGCAGATGGAGATGAGATAGCAGGGAGGCAATTACTGTAATTATGCACACACCAGCCCGGGGCCCCTTGTCAGAGAACACAGAGGAATTCTTGTTCCTTTACTCACCTCTGCTGGGCATGGCAGCCCTGGCACAGCTCAGGAGGAGCCAGAGCAGTGAATATCCAGAGGTGGCTGTGGATGAGAACCAGGAATGGGATATTCATGTGCCTGTCCACGGGTAAGCCCCTCGTCCCCTTGAGAAGCAAAGCTCCCCAGCACTGTGGCACAAGCCTGGGCTCTGCAATAGCCTTTTTAATCCTTAAAGCAGAAGGAAGGAGAAACAAAATATATCCATTTAGTCTGAATCAGATGGGAAACTCACCTTCTCTGCAAAACTCTGGCACCAGTTTTACAATTTCTGTTTAAAATGACACTTCAGGCCAAGGAGGGGCAAATCTCTGCACAAACAAGTCTCAGCACAGCCCACTTTGCTGTTTTCTAGGTTTGTTCCAGCAGCTTTCAGCATGTGCCATGCTGGAGGGGGAAAAGGAAAACAAAAGCGGAGTTTCTTGTTAAGCAGGTCTCGGAGCAAGGCAGGGGACCCAGCACCAGGCAGCTGCTCAGGACCTGGTGGGATGTGAGCTTTGGGCTCTTCAGTGAAGCACTTCATTGTCCCCTCTCCAATGTTCTCACTGCCTCCCCTCGCTGTCCAGAGGCTTTAATTGACAATACTGCCCCAAAGGTGGCTGCTGCCTCCCCCTGCTTCCTGCAGAGCTGCAGGACAAGGCCATCCACAAAGTGAGTGAAGAAGGCTGCAAGCAGCATGATGGAAAAATGTATTTTCCCCCACCCCCTCAATTTCTTGGAGCCTGGATTTTGATCTTTAAATTAAAAAAAAAAAAAAAAAAGAAGCTTTTCCCTCACTTCCAAGACCAAAAGGCATTTTCCTGCTCAAAACCAAAGAAAACCCCTCCCCAAGCAGGGAGTTGTCCTGTTTACTATTCCCAGTACATAGAGGATAATTCCAGTGACAAACACGAGCAGGACACTTCTGTTTCTGCTTAAACTGAGCTGGATATGTTCAATATCTTGAACTCTTCCCGAAACCTCTCAAAAGACACCACTTTTAAGGACATCCAAAGGATGTACTGGAGCAGACATGGGCTGTAGAGAGACTTCGGGAGAGGGATTTACTTGTTAAGCATGGAGGTCTCTGCAAGGAGAGCAGAAGTGTTTTACTCCAACATTCTTGGCAAAATTTAACCTGATTTAATAAGTCACCATGTTTTCCAGGCACGTAAGCTGTGGAATTTTTCAAGAGAAGGCTGCTGCTGTTGTTAAACCTATTGTGTTAATAAATCCTGCAGAGGTGCAGGTTTAACTTCTTGGCTTTGGAGCTTTTCAAATGTACATTTTACAGCTTCCCAACCCTGATGGACATTTCCACCCTCCCTATAGCACCACATGCTTGAGCCAGGACTCAGAGTGGATAAACACACAGGTTCCCTGGGAGATGCCCCCAGATGGCACACAGCACTAGGAGGGATCTCAGACCCTCCTCAGCTCTTCTGAGCCATTCCTCAGTGTCAAGAGGTCTGTGCCTGTCATTTCACAGGCAATAAAGCTCCTGGAGAGACTGTCAGAGCAAACAGGACTTAAGATAACTCCTAAGCAGAATAAACCTAAGGAGGAGCTGTCTGGAGAGCACAAGGTTAAGGCAGGCACAGCCTGAGCAGGGGGTGCCTGCCTACCACCAGCAGCTGAAGCCATCCATCAGCCTTTGAGTGCTTTCCAAAATTCCACTCAGTGCTGACCCTTCCCATAAATACTGACTGAACTCCCAGGCTTCCAATTCCTGCTGCCTGTCCCAGAGTGTCTCCAGCTGAGATGCTGTGGCTGGGCATTCCCAGCCCAGCACAGAGACACAGCAGGACTCCTAATTCAGGCAGAGATATGCCCCTGAACACCTCCAGCCTCCCAGCCAGGAGCACTTCTGTGCATTTCTTCCCCAAAATTAGGGGTTTTAAGAGGACCAACCCCCAGCACAGAGCAAGGCACTGCTCTCAGACCCCTCAGTGGAGCCAGCACAGGCACTGTGGAGCTGCAGGAGCTCTCTTCAGCTAGCACACCTCCCGCCTCCAATTATTTCCACCAGGATGGAGAGGGACCTTAGGGATGTCTGACCCAGCTCCAACTGACCTGGACCACCTTGTTTCCATCACCTGTTTTAAGAACTTCTGGTTTTGGAGATTCCCAGATTCCCATACAACTCCAGACTTGCTCTCTCT